CAATATAATTATATAAAATATAGTTACATAAAATATGTACATAACATATATACAATTATAGAAAATTATAAAAAATTATACAAATCTTACAATATTTTATAATTTATGTATAAAAAAATTCTGAATTTTTAGAATTTCTGCATCATTTTATAACTGTTTAGAAAATATCTCAAATTTTTTTATACGAATTTTACGTACAATATTTCAGAATTCATATGTATGTATATATATGTATATGAAAAATTCTATTAAAAAAAGTATAGATATTTTAAATATATGTATATTTCTGAAATGTTGTTCAATTCTTATTATAATTCCTATTCACTCCAACGAACGCGTTAAAGTGAGGAGCTAAGGTAGGAACACGCGAACAAACATTGTAGTACTAAGTAATACATGATAAAAAAAGAGAGACCGAACCTAAATGATGTATGACGAAAACAACAAAGTTAAACTGAATCTACGAACGATCATTGTGTAAGCGATAGGACAGAAAATTAGAGAGAGACGCTTGCAAACTGAGCACATCATGTAATCCTTCGACCATGGGTCGGACCGCCGGATATGCTCGGGTAAGATTAATTGCAAATGGCACCCAAACATAAAAATCCATTCCATTCAACGGACTTTCAATTAGGGGTCACGAATCAGGATTCACTTTCATTTCACGGGGTTAGGTCTCTTTCTCTCTTACTTCGTGGTGTAAGCGTATATGAGAGGAGTTTTGTTAGAGTTCCTCCAGTAAGAGATAAATAAGAACAGAAGAACGCCATTGCCAGGTGTCAGGTACTGACCGGAAACAGCACAATTTCACCATGATTGACAGTTGATAGTCTGATTTCGTGTTCGCGTCTTCTATATCATGAAATAGTTGCTCACATCAATTCACAGATTCACTACCACATTGAAAGTATCTGCAAATGGCGGTTTAAAGGGATCCGAAATCTGACCAATCAAGAATCGATGCCCCATGATTTGACTCTTACTAGAGGGACTCTAAAGTTTTGTCATTCGACCGCTACCTACCGAGCATCATCAATACTAATTCAGAACCTGATTTTGGTCACATTTTTCAAAGTCTAGCTCGGTCTCCTGTTCTCTATCCTCCATGATCCGGGCTTAGGATGCTGTTCCATTTCTGTCAGATTTCGGAAAACGAAATCTCGGAAAAGTAATAGAATGGAGACCAATCAATCTGGGGATCGATTATGGATTTTGAAAAGAGGTCAAAATTACAAAAGTGAGCAAAGGTTACTAGGTATTAACCAATTAAATTATGAATACTCTAATGAATTTGCTCATTTTTGTAATTTTTACCTCATTTGAAGATATCAAAATCCATCCCCTGGGTAGTCATGTCAACTCTTTCTCTAGAGCAGAACCATGAAAAGTGAAAATTCTTTGTATGTATGTGTATATGTATGAATATACATATATAAAAATTTTTACTTTTCATGTTTCACTCTAACAAAAAAGCATCGCTACTCAGAATCAGAGAGAATCAAAGGAGAGTGGAGTAGATAGCGTTTCTCTTCTCTGATTGGTTCCGCCATTTTTTCGCTCTCTTCTGCAAATGTGCATGCGTGCACGTACGTATATATACATACACACAACACTAGTGCGGTACAATATTAGTGTGTGCAACATCATACATTCCATCACGCTTCTATCATATCTCCTACTCCAACAAACGGTGGCTTTCGGCTGAATCCGCTCCACTCTCCCTTGATTCTCTCTGTCCAGAATTATTGCATTACTGTTCGTCTACACATATACATGATATATAAAAATTTCAGACTGATAAGCACGCAATTTTATTCTCAATTATATAAATAGTTATATTTTT